CCCCCCCCCCCCCCAAGTCGCGATCCGGGTGGGAACCGGCCACTTGGCTGGCGTGCGAAGGGCCCAAACGGAGGGAGAAGGAAGCTCCCAGGCTCCTGGGACGGGACAGGTGGAAAGCCGGGAGAGGGATGGCTTGGCGCCCGGCCTGGGCTGCGTGAGGGCCGGCCTCATAATCCTCCAGGCGCCAGATCTCCGGAATCCGGACCGCCTGCGAAGGGCCAGGGCCAGGCAGTCTCCGCTAGTGACCCGCCTGCTGGCCTCCCTCCGCTGACCCTGAGGACCAGGGTGGTCCAGCGGGGATGGCGCGGGACTAGGAGCTACTTCACAGGGACATTGTTGTTAGGGGAAAAGGGAGGAGGGAACAGTCCCTGTTCTTCCTTCAGGTCCTGGATTAAAGGCAAGATACAGGGTACATCTAATAAATAAGGACACTCGGAGGTGCTGTGACAACAGCATACCAGCCCAACAACAGCCGTCTCCTTTAGAAGCTGCAACGGTCTTGAAACAGAACTGTGTACAAACGACGGACGTGTTATTGCTAAAATGTGTAAACTTTTATTGGAATTTGAAACAGAAGAAGAACAAGTGAAAGAATGTATGATAAGATGGGCTAAAAACTTTGGTTATATTACACAAATGGAACAGTGGGAGAAAATGTGGTTGAAAGGACTGACATTTGCATTATGTTATAGTCTTAAAGAGAATTTTTATAAGATGATGTATCGTTGGTACATGTCACCAGAAAAATTATCTGGAATGTATAAAGGTACTTCAAATTTATGTTGGAAATGTAATAAAGAGGAAGAGACATTTCATCATGCCTGGTGGACAGGTAAAAAAGCTAGAAAATTTTGGACCCAGTTACGTATAATATTATAGAAGATTTTAAAGATTAATATACGACTGAAACCAGACGCTTTTCTTTTTGGACTGATGGATAAACAGCTGAAAAAAATGGATTTTTTTTTTTTTTGTATATGACAACTGCAGTGAGATTATTATATGCACAAAGTGGAAAGATTCAGCTTTACCCACAGTGGAGGAATGGATGGTGAAGATGATGGAACTTGCTGTGATGGCCAAATTGACAGCTTTAATGAGAGATAAGACATTGTCTAAGTTTAACGCTGACTAGAAACCCCTTATTGTCCTCAAGATGGCACCGCAAACGGCAGCCTCGGTGAAACGCTCTTTGGTGGGTTTGGTGTTTTTCTCTGTATTCTGCAGTTCATTGTGAAACCTTATGAAAAAGGGCTCTTAGTTTTCATCATATTTACTTCTTTACATTTGAAAACCAAAGGGATAACACAAACACGGACATTCATGAAGCTTCACACATTTCTCTCATTCAGACATCCTGTCTCCATAAGGGTCGAGGCCATGAAGATGGGGGGGGGAGGGGGTGTGCCCTGAACTCTGACTAGCATCCAATAGGTCATCAGGAAG